CACGAAGATCTTAGAAACAAACGATTTCGAGATACAAGCAGTACGGAAAGTTTATCTACCTGAAATTGTTTAGTTTAGTTTTGAGTGTACAATTTAAATATAACTTTGAAAATTACCTTGAAACCATTAAGCATCGATTGTTTTCTACGGATTGGTGTAAATGTTCATAGTAGTCTAACAATCATATACAGAAATTGATTCATATAAGTATTATATTATTACTATTGTTTCCTTTACTTGCTAGAGGAACATAGGGCTTCAGCCATGCGTCTCCATCGCGTTCGGTTCTCTGCTAGAGTCTTCACCTGGCTCCAAGTCTGAGCACATGCTTTAATCTCCTCTTCACATGACCTCCTCCAAGTCACCCTTGCACTGACGAAAAACTCGCCACTTCTCTTTCGGGTTCCACTCGAGGAATGGCTTGTCTAGTGATGTCACTTGATGGTTTCCTCAGAGTATGACCAGCCAATCCATCTCCATTTCTTCCTGCCTATTTGTTTCACAATCGGTTCCTGGCTGGTTCGTTCCCAAAGATCCCTGTTGCTGATCTTTTCTGGCCGGCCATCTGATCTTCAGTATTGAGCGAAGACAGCTAGCTGTTGATGAAGGTCTGTAGTTTGTTTGAGATGCTCTTTATGACGCGCAGTGCAAGTCTCTGATCCGTATAGTGCGCAGTACTGACTTCACATTTGAGTTGAAAATCCGGATCTTATTTTTGATGCTGAGTGTTGTTGACCTCCACACAGACTTGAGAGTAGTGAAAGCTTGTCTTGCTTTTCCGATCCTTGCTTTGATATCCTCGTCAGTTCCGCCTGTAGTTGAAACGATGCTTCCCAGGTATGTGAAGGAGGTTGTTTCTTTCAGGTTGCTCCCATTTATGCTGATTGTTGTCTGTTGTTGTTGTTGCTGTTGGTGGTGTTGCCCAGGAATTTTCATCACCTCTGTTTTATCTATGTTCACCTGAAGTCCTATCTTTGATGCTTCTTCTGCTAACTTGTTGCTTTTCGCTTACATATCTTCCAGTTTGTGGGAAATCAGACATATATCATCGGCGAAGTCCAGATCCTCCAAGAATACGATGCATATATTTGAACATTCTATTTCATGTCGTTAAATGTAAACCGAAATCACACGCTCAATGACTGGCTAGAGAATATAAAAATGTATATATATGAATAGCGGTGTGATCACAAAGAAACTGGAACAGAATTTCGTAATGTATTACTCCTATCACAGCAAAAACAGTAATATTAGCTTTAATCGAAAGAGTACTTTTGATAGCATGAAATTCTCATCTTGAGGTCTTCACAATATTAACGCGTTTAGTGTGAAATGAATTAAAATTCATTAAGATTAAAAAAACACAGGTCTGCTGGTGAATTTTTTTTCCTTTACGTTCCCCAGTGGAACATAGGGCTTCAAGCTAGTGGCTTGAAGATTCCGTAGCAGTGTTTATTTTACAGGGTGGGGTTGCTAGCCTCATGCCCAACCTTTCCTCTTTACCAGAATTATTTCTGGCTTAGTGAGGTAAAGGAGTGTGTCGGCCGGGGATTGAACCCCTGACCATGTGCACGGTTGGGGAGCGTCCTAACCGCTATACCACCGACGCACACAGAACCATTGCAAAACCTGGGAGTACTGGACAGCCGTTTCGTCCTAGTTTAGGACTCTTCATCAGTTCGCACCCACAGGGGGTCGAATCCATGACCTTCTGGTTACAAGGCGAGCTCGTATACCATTAAGCCACTGGGACCCGCTGGTGAATTAATCGGTTCTAAAGTAATTGCTGTCAAGATCCCTAGACCCACTCGGAAATTACTGAGAACCGAGAAACACTCAATGTATGCTTTGTCCTGGATGCAGGTCATTCAACAATTTGAGCACAAGGCTACGTGTTGAATCATGATAAATTCCCTTAGTGTTTATTAACATAGTATACGTCAGTCCGTTTTCACCTTTTTGACTGTTATCATTGTGAGATATAACATTACATTGTAATGTAACGGTTTTACACTTATCCTTTTCATAGACGATAAAGAAACAGCTATTCATTGCTTTTCGATTTTCTGTAATTTTTTGATTGTTGCTGATTTGTAACGAAATGTATCTGAGAGTTAGTCATTCTTGTACACACACATCAACCGGAAGAATAAGGTTTTTTTAAATATTATAAAATACTCAAAGAAAGCTTCCCGAAAATGTTGTAAAGAACCTTGAGATATCTAGTAATGAGATTATTTGTCTGAAGCGAATGTTGTGGTCGACATGTGAAACCAGTATTCTTGTTGGCGTATAGTTGTGACAAACAGCGGTCAATGAGGAAACCGGCATAAAATGGACTCACACAAAAAACTTAGAGGATCTGGACTTCGCCGAAGATATATGTCTGATTCCTCACAAACTGGAAGATATGCAAGCGAAAAGCAACACGTTGCCAGAAGAAGCATCAACGATAGGACTTCAGGTGAACATTGACAACACAGAGGTAATGGAGATTCCTGGGCAACACCACCAACAGCAACAACAACAACAGACAACAATCAGCATAAATGGGAGCAACCTGAAAGAAACAACCTCCTTCACATACCTGGGAAGCATCGTTTCAACTACAGGCGGAACTGACGAGGATATCAAAGCAAGGATCGGAAAAGCAAGACAAGCTTTCACTACTCTCAAGTCTGTGTGGAGGTCAACAACACTCAGCATCAAAAATAAGATCCGGATTTTCAACTCAAATGTGAAGTCAGTACTGCGCACTATACGGATCAGAGACTTGCACTGCGCGTCATAAAGAGCATCTCAAACAAACTACAGACCTTCATCAACAGCTAGCTGTCTTCGCTCAATACTGAAGATCAGATGGCCGGCCAGAAAAGATCAGCAACAGGGATCTTTGGGAACGAACCAGCCAGGAACCGATTGTGAAACAAATAGGCAGGAAGAAATGGAGATGGATTGGCTGGTCATACTCTGAGGAAACCATCAAGTGACATCACTAGACAAGCCATTCCTCGAGTGGAACCCGAAAGAGAAGTGGCGAGTTTTTCGTCAGTGCAAGGGTGACTTGGAGGAGGTCATGTGAAGAGGAGATTAAAGCATGTGCTCAGACTTGGAGCCAGGTGAAGACTCTAGCAGAGAACCGAACGCGATGGAGACGCATGGCTGAAGCCCTATGTTCCTCTAGCAAGTAAAGGAAACAATAATAATAATAGTTGCCAATGTAGGCAAAACGTCGATTTGACAAGTCCTACTGTGAGTAATTACCAAATGCTAAAAATTTGGTAAGATCCGGATATTCAACTCCAATATGAACTCAGTGCTACTTATTATGCGGATCAGAGACTTGGCTCCGCGTCAAAAGACCACTTCGAACAAAGTACACACCTTCATCAACAGCTGTCTTCACTCAATACGACTCAAGATCAGATGTGCAGCCAGAGAAGATCAGCAGCAGGAAGGGATCTCTGGCAATGAGCGAACCAACCCTGCAGGAACCAATTGTGCAACAAATATGCAGGAAGAAATAGAGTTGGGTGGATTGGCCATATTCTGAGAAAACAGACCATCATGTGACGTCACAAGACGGGCCATCGCTCAAGTGAAATGTGAATGAGAATCGGCGAGTTTATATGCGTGCTGAGTGGCTTTATTGATTTTCCGAAATATACATGTTAATCATATCCTGCCCCTGTTTATTTAAGAATGAAAAAGAAATCTGTTCTTAGAGAAATTCCTCATGATATCACCATCGAATTGAATATCGGAAGGTGAAAACAAGAGATTTAAAGTGTGGGGAACATCACTATCACTAAAATAATTTGACTAACTACAGTCTTCTAATTTTAAACGTTTACTTTTTATTGGTTGAGGGGAATTTCATGATTCCGTTAGTTATTCATCCTTAATATTTACCATCCAAATCTTGTAGTGAAGTTAATATGTTTCTTCTGCCATTAGAAGTTTCTGTAGTCATTGGATTGACTTTGTGGAATGATCTCACTAGCCATTCGTCCAATTTTCCCTCATTTACCGTGTTTAGGACCAGGTTGTAACCTAGACTTATGAACAGTTGTAGAGTCAGCTAAAAAGACTGTTTAGAACAAAATAAAAGGGAAAGATATTACTGAAGCCACTTGGTTCCACTTGGAACTAAAGGGAATAATTGTAGCCACCAAGATAAACTAACTGTGGTCTAATCGCAGAGGAACAATCCTTGCATCCTACTGTATAGCTGTGTGAAATTTTTTTGAGTAACGCACAGTCACAAAAGGCTCCAAAGTCAGCAAAAAGACGATTGTTTGTGAATGGCATCTATGTGTGGTACTATTCTATCATAATAATAACATCAACGACTCAAAACAGTGCTGTTAGGCAGCTAAATAGTCCAGTGTAACTACAAAACAAGTACTTAGAATCAAGTAAAATATTCCCCAAAAGGTGGGATCAGTAACTCTGTCCACAAGAAACAAACATCAACAATTCACACAGACAGTCCAAGGTCAGAATTACCTTCACTAATCCAAACAAAGTCACATCATGAAACAAAACTTTATCAGTGTATCGCACAACTATAGAAATAAACATTACAATTAGAGACTAAACAGGGAACAGAGACAAATGATAAGCACCAAATCAACATATGACATGCAAATGTCACAAGAATGATAGACAGTCTAGGGTCAAAACGGATGATAACTGCAAAGTTAATTGAACCACCCAAGTAAGTATAAAGATTGAACGTTTAGGAGGAAATTTCTAAACAGCCTCTCTGTTACAGTAATAATAACAATAACTGATCATGATTACATAGTAAATAGAATTCTCCATTAACATTGACCAGTAGGGTGCAGCAGGTCGGATGTGAGGACAAATACTCGCCGAAGACATTGGCTAGTGGTCGCGTTATGTCTTGAATTGGCAGAAGTTGAAATTCATGCGATGGCTGGCCATTGGATCGGGTCCTAGTGGCTGAATGATCTACAAGTTCACCTTGTAACCAGAAGGTCATGGGTTCGAACCATGGTGGTGGGTGCGTACTGAGGAAGGGTACCAAAGAAGGAGGGGAGAAACAGCTGTCTACTACTCCTTGTAGGTTTTCCAGTGGTTCTCTAACCGATGTCAGCTCATGGTGAAAACCTGTAACCAATATTTTAAAACATTTCTACGGATAGAAAGTGCTGACATTTGGAGTACATAAAAAAGAGTGATGATACAGGACATATCGCTAGATTGTTCGATTATTTTGAAGTAATTTTGTTCTAATTTTATCTCACTCATAATCTTATATGTATGGATCTTCAGGCAGAATGCTTCATACAGCCCAAAATAATTATTTGCATATTTCAACCACGTAATAGTTCTTCAAAAGAAAACCAAATGTTTCTTTTCTATTTAAAGAGTTTTTAAATTGATTCATATTGTTAACAAAGGCTAAAATAAATTTCCTTCATTTCTCAATAAATATGGAATGTTTTCGGGGCCAAGTTAAGGTTTAGGCACCACTAACTATCAGTGGAGTGCAACCACACCAATGACCTTGAAGCGTTCACTAAGCAAGGTAGTGAAACCTGGCAAATTATGTTGTCATCATCAATAAAATATGCTCATCGAAATTTTTTGTTATTAAATAGGATATCTGGGAGGTTTCAGCTTAGGTTTGGGAAATATTAAGCTACGGTTTAAGCCAAAGACCAGTTAGGTTTAGGTTGACCTAATAAAAGCGACATTACAGTTGGTTCGAGTTAGAGTATAGTTAGTTTAAGGATATTTTCACTTAAGGGTTAGTTCCAGCAAAGATTAGGGTTATTGTTAGGGTTGGAAGAGTTAAATAATAACATGCACAGAATGTGGTTACATTACTCTGTTGATATAAGAATAGAACTTGTGCACTGAGGTAGAGTATAATTCCATTGTGGGTAAAATTTTTTTTGATATAGTCTCACAGGGTTATACAGTAATATTTACTAATGACGTTTCGAGTGCAGTGTTTTGCTCAGCAAATATTACTGTAGAACACAATTAGACATTATCAAAATAAGTTTTACCCACAATGGAATAACACTCTGTTGATACTTAAACCTAAAACTAAGAGCTATTTTTTATCACATTTTAGATGAAGGTATCCTGTGTAACACTTTTATACAGTTTCTATGCATATTTTTCATAAATATATATATTCCGTACACAAAAATGCCGCCTTCACGTGATTGGTGCGTTAGAGGTCATTCGCTGATTGATAGTTAGTGGTGCTTAAAGTTTAACTTTGCTGGTTTCGGAGACAAAAGATGATATCACTTGGCGTTTATGGTTTCTCATCAACTGCAAATACCACTAGACTAACAAGAAACTGAGCTGTAAGGGAGCATCCTCGCAGTGAAATTTGTGTTTTTTTTGCCTTACTACATTGACAATCAACTCGTTACTTTTCGGTCAGTTTCCATTTGAGGATTCACATAGGGCGTAATATCACTCAACTATCTCCACAGTGTATGTGCAATCCACCTTCATCTGCATGTCTGTTGGTCAATAGATTCTTGGATCGTTTGTTGACTACCAGGATGCCTTGTTCCTGCGCGCTTCAATTCCCTGAGCTATCCAGAAGATGTGAATTGAAAATCCGAGTTATGTTTTACCGCCTGTAGGTGAAACGATGCTGTTATAGCTAGGTAACTGACACTTCCTAGTATGCTAGTCAATCCTAAACCCAGAAAAGGCTGGAGGTTGAGCGCGAGACTAGTAACCGCAGCTTGTGAGAAATAACCTCCATTGCTACGAAAGCCCAAAGGCACAGAAAAATAAACTTAAAAGTATCATATTCAACAAATAGAATTCCCTATTTCATCAAATTTCTTAAAAACCCTAGTCACCGAATGTTCTTTACCTAACCTTTTGTACACAGAAAGGTACTCTATAACTAACTTAGAATTTTTCTGATCAATAAATTTTGCATTACTTCACTAACATACTTATCTTCTTCAGCCTACATACTCAAAGGACATAAAAATGTTTTTGAATTCATTTATTATACCGTAACCATAGTTAATCAAATAAATATGAGAACTCTTACTTACGTGAAGAACATCTCTCCAAGATAAGTGGGAATACCGACTGTGATTTTAGTGTTGTTGTAAAATTTAAACAATCCATATATACTGTATATGCGAAATATTTCTGGTTAAAAATGTACTACTTAGAGATTAAAATAAGCATACAATAATACCCCGTCAGATAAGCATACGTAAGCGTTTGTGTGGTACATGATCAATTCAAGCTCGAGACATGTGCGTGCTTGTAAGTGCCGATGAATTTTATTCCATGTTTCTTATAGCCGTCATAACATTAGTTCACAGTAACTTGAATTATTGTATACTTAGTTCATTCTTCGATATACTAGGTAGGGACCCAACATTATATTCATCAGTTTTCTATATGAATATATCTTAGAGAGATGCAGAAAATCTGGTAGTAGGCTAGGTGTTAAATGCTATTTTCAAAGTCGATGAAGTTGAGATAGATAGGTGACTGCCATTCCAAGCTTTGTTCAATGATGATCCGTAATGTGGCGATCTGATCAATGCATGACTTGTTTCTCCTGAATCCAGCCTGTTCCGGTCGAAGTTTTTCATCCAGGGCATATCAATTAATCCACAACGGGAAACTTACGGAATCCTTCGAAGTAAGGACAGGAGTAAGACAAGGCTGCCTACTATCTCCAATGATTTTCCTGATTGCAGTTGATTGGATATTGCAACAAACGGCGGGCGATGAGGAAACAGGCATAAAATGAACCCTAACGAAAAACTTGGAAGATCTGGACTTCGCCGATGATATATGTCTGATTTCCCACAAACTGGAAGATATGCAAATGAAAAGCAAGAAGTTGGCTTCAGGTGAACAAAGAGAAAACAGAGGTGATAAAGATTCCTGGCCAATAACAACAGTCACAGGAACAACAGACAATGATCAGCATAAATGGGAGGAACCTGAAAGAAGCAACCTATTTTACCTACCTGGGAAGCACCGTTTCAACTACAGGCGGAACTGACGAGGATATCAAAGCAAGGATCGGGAAAGCAAGGCAAGTTTTCATTACTCTCAAGTCTGTGTGGAGGTCAACAGCACTCAGCATGAAAAATAAGATCCGGATTTTCAACTCCAATGTGAAGTCAGTGCTACTCATTATACGGATCAGAGACTTGGTGCATCATAAAGAGCATCTCAAACAAGCTACAGACCTTCATTAACAGTTGTCTTCACTCAATACTCAAGATCAGATGGCCGGCCAGAAAAGATCAGCAACAGAGGTCTCTGGAAGCGAACCAACCAAAAAGCGATTTTGAAACAAATAGGCAGGAAGAAATGGAGATGGATTGGCCATACTCTGAGAAATCAAACCATCAAGTGTCATCACTAGACAAGCCAATGCTCCAGTGGAACCCGAAAGGGAAGCGGCGAGTTTTTCGTCAGTGCAAGGGTGACTTGGAGGAGGTCATGTGAAGAAGAGATGAAAACGTGTGCTCAGAACGCAATGGATACGCATGGCGGAAGCCCTATGTTTCACTAGGAATTCAAGGAAACAATAATAATATATAATAATAATACGTTTTGATTGACGCGTTCAATTCTTTCTACCTTCCTATTTGTTATACGCGTAGTTGAATATTCTAGAAGCCTGAGAATATACCTGGATTGTCTTTAGGATTTGTATGGTTAAATGATGACAGCTAAGCTTTCCTTTACCTTTTATTTCTATCTCAGTGGTGAATTTTCTATACATTAAGCTCAGCACTTCAATAACTTTTGTTCAAACAGCTTCAGTTCAAGCAGACATAAGGATGAATACCGATAAATTCACGCAGCGTTTTCACTTATAACCATGTCCAAATAGGTATATATCAAAAGTATAATTCGGCGACATTTATAGATATCTGAAGACTTCTACTATCAGTATTGCGGTTATTCATGCAAAAACTGAAACATCAAAAACTGTGTTTCAAAATACGGAACTACTAAATAGGAATATATTTATTGTAAAATAATGGAGAATATTTGTAGCTCAGGTGGATGATATTGAATGAGTTGTGTTCTCCAAGCTGTTGGTTGATTTAATTGTGAAGCTTTCATCCTCCTTCTAGACAAAATCCACCTTCAATTCAGGTTTCAGTATAGAATGAACTCATTTGAATTCTCCATGAATGATTCGATTGTGTCTCCTAGCAACTACTGTCGTGATTGGTTGTTGTTAATTTACGTCTCTTTTGATCGTATTTTTATTGACTTGGAATTTGAACTTTCTTGTCATGTGATTTACTTTTTATCAGCTGGTAAATTTGGTCTGTAGTAATGTGTTTGTTAATCGCTGGCTGATTCACTTGAGTACCAGGCTTCTAGGAATTCCCTGACTGCAGTTTTGGTGTTTCCTCTATTCAAAATTTCTACATTATCCCAATCATCAAATTAGTGTCCGTGATTATTTTTTACATGTATTGATATCAAAGAATATATATCATGTCTTCTTAAAGTCAATTTATGTTCTTGGATTCGGATTCGAATGGGACGTCCACTTTGACTAATGTGATCTTTATTGTAGTTCGTAGAATTTATTTTGAAAATGGTAATAATTTCATCTTCTTTTTCTGTTGGATCTTTTGCTTTGAACAATATAGATAAATGAAGTGATTGTGCTTGTGGTGTATCTATTTCAAACGGTCCTAATGTTCTAGCTGTTATTTTTGAGAGAACTAGAATAAGTTCATTTTATACTAAAACCTGCTCTGAAGAGGTTGTCTAGTAGGACGACGAAAGCTTCGCAATTAAGTCGACCAGCTCAGAGAACACAACTACTTCGACAGCGATACTCCCTCTCCCTCTTCTTCGGGCATGCTTAAGTTCTAGTCCTATCTGAATAGGTACGTGACTACCACATTTATGATTGGGAAACGATTGCTTTGAAATTCTAAAACATTTTAAATAATTCTGTTGCCTTAGATTACCTTTGACTTTT